ATTTCTGGTAATTACATCAATGATTCCTCAAAAGTGCCCTAGGCACTGTAGCTCGCAAACCTGAAGAAACCTGTAGAGAGGAAACAATGAGAAGCAGTTACGGTTTTAGAGGTGGGAGGAAAACTTCAGAGGAATATTCTGGGTAAAACCCACAGAATCAAGTAGGGACTGAAAACCCAATCTGCATGTGGACCGAGCCGGGAATCGAACCCAGACCGCAGAGGTGGAAGAAGAAGAAAGAACCTCTATGCCAACACTGATGCAGCGTTAAGTGTTAACAGAAGTGTCAAATAATTTCATGCTAACTAATCTTGGCCTCTCTCTCACAGTATGAGGTGTTCGATTACTCTCGCATCGGCTGGCTGTCGAGGTTCCTCTTTTTCATCTTCATGCTGCTGTTGCCATGGCTACTCATCAACATGCTGATTGCCATGATGGCCAAAACGTACCAGCAGGTGGAGGAGCGTTCCAAGATGGAGTGGAAGCGGCAGGTGAGTGGACAGGGAAGAGATGAGCGGAACATGGGAAAGTGAGCCTGCTTGAGAAGCCAGGTTTTGATATGTGAGAGGCTGGCTATCAGGACTTAAGCTGGTTTTTGGTACTTGAGAATCCAGGTTGTGATACATGAGAAGCAAGTTTTGGTACTTAAGCAGCTGGCATTTTGGTACCTGAAATCCAAGATTTTGGTACCCGAGCTGGGTTTTGGCACTTGAAAAGAAGTTCTGAAACTTGAGAAGCTTGGTCTTGGCACCCAAGAAGCTGAGTTTGGGTCCTGGCGGAGCTGGGTTTGAGCATGTGAGAAGCTGGGTTTTCAGTGCTTATAAGGTTTGGCTTTGCTGTTTCAGAGGCTGACTTTAAGGTCCTTGCAGAGCTGCATGGGTTTGGGTATTTGTAAAGCTGGAGTTTGGTACTTGTGATGCTGGGTTGTGGTACTTGAGAAGTTGGTTTGTATTTGAGAAGCTATATTTTGAGGTCTGTCTAGTCCTGCGCAATTGCACTCAATCACGAATGGTACTGAATACAGGAGAGTTTTGCCACTATCACAGAAGTAAAGCACCACCTACAATGTTCACAGTGCCCTAGGCAATGAATCTTAATGTCTCAATCCAACTCGCAGACCAATTTGCTCGTTTCTCATCCCTGTATTCCCAGTGGGCCATCATTCTCCTGAACATTGAGCGGTCCATCCCCAAGGGCAAGCTGGAAAAGTACCAGAAGGCCTACTCCACAGAGATGCGAATCCCCTACAGAGAAGCCCTCAAGAAGGGCCTGATACAGGAGACGGACGAGGGGACGGGCAAGGCGGGAGGGACTGTGGTCATCAGCTCCTACAAGGGGTGAGTTTGGGGTTTGTACCTTCAACACTGCGAACTCTTCATGTGGCACTTTCAAAATAATAAATGTTACATGTATTTCAGCAAGAGGTGCTCGGGAGCACTTCAGGAGCACAGCTAGAAGCCACGGCTAAAATATTCAGGGAACTGTTGCAAGCATTTTACGATCTTTTCATGCACATTCAATCAGAGGTTGTTTCTGAATATTTGTTCACACTGTCCCTCTGTGTCTATCGCTGCCCCGTCAGATTTTTGAAACCCAACCCAGTTAATTTACTGTGCACCGTCATCGTTATCCCTTCCCCGCGGAGTGTATGTTATCTCATTGGCCAAATTCTCACGTCATGGGTGACTTTGAGATGCTGGTGGCAACAGACACACCGGTCCTTTTTCACAGTATTGCACATGCTCAGAACTATGCACGCATTTCTAGAACAACGCGCGCCTGCTCATTTCTGGTAAAAAAGGACCATTTTGTTTGCCGCCACCAAGGGTCTCAAAAGTCTCCCGTTGTAGGTACGGAAAGCAGTGTCTACAAGTGTGCTGTAAATAATGCTGACACTGCATCGGAGGTATTTAAGATGTCTGAGAGATGGAGACAGTACTGGGACAGGGTGAATGAGGGCAGTCTGAGAGCGTTTCACATCTCAGCTTCATCTTATCCCCAGCTTCAGTCTCAGTCCCCTTGTTTGAGAGCCCGAAGCTCGGCGCAGTTTCCATGTCTGACCTGGAAACACCCTTTTTGCTAAAAATGACGCCAAAGTTTAGGACACTTTTCACTTAGTTTCAACAGTAAATGTTCAAAACTGATACTGGATGTCAAGATGTGGCCGAAGGTAAAGTTGAAGTCAAGGTTTAAACCCCCCCCCAGAAAACCCCAAATATATGTTTTTGATGTCTGTAATTCATCACAATTCAGGGAGGACCCTCCTCTCATCCCCAAAGGCCACCGTATCATGTACAAATCCTGGAAGAAGGATGACCTGAATGTGCCGCTGGTGCCCCTGGCAAAGCGAGAGACACCCCCGGACCCAGAAAGCGGGGAGAGGGAGAAAGAGTACGTCTGCCGAGCGCTCCTTATCCAGACGGTGCTGCCCAAGAGCCGGGCCAAGGCCCGGAGGGAAGCCGTGCTGAAGTGGAGGGTACGTAACCGGCCTGAATAGCAACTGATTTTTGGCCTCAGGAGAGCGAATGAGAGCGGTACATCCACCTTGAGCAGGTGCACCTCCTCATCGGTTGAAAAGAGCCATGTTGGTGGGGACTGGCCATCTTGTTTGTAGTGATGCAACCGTATTGCATGCATGTCATAGTTGTCTGTGAACCAGCGACGCAAAGTTCCCACGAAAGCAGCCTGCATTGCGAGGCTAAATTGCGCCCTCTCTTGGTCCTTCTCAAGGCGGATAGTCCCATTTCTTCCCTGCGCATATGACTTCAGTTTTATTGTTCAGGAGTCCGGTTGCAGTGCAGATCTAACAATTGCAGCGAGGGTCACACAGTGTACGGTATGGCGGTTACAAAAGGTTATGATTACATTAAAACTTTAACGTCACTGTTTTTCAGGGAGCGCTAAGGAAAGTCATCCGAGCTAACAAGCATGCCAAGGTCCTGATGCGACAGTCCCGGGCCAAAGTGGAGCGCACACCCCGCGGCGCCCGCCGTACCTCCCGCACTCCTGTCGCATCCATGGCTGCACCCAACCCCCTCACGAGCCTCCCGGAGACCCAGCCAGCTCCCGCCGGTGGTGAGGCCGAGGGGTCCCCGGACCAGGAAGCAGAGGTCCCAGAGGTCAAGAGCCCCAGGAAGGGTCAGCTGCCACCACTGATCAGGCAGAAAAGCAGAGCCATCCTTCCTCCTGTGGTCTAATGTCTGAGGCGTAAAATCTTTGAGGGCAAATTTCAGGGACAGTATCAAGGGTAGAATCATGTGTGGAATAATGTCAGGAGACATCATGACCACTGCTGTGCCTCCACACTTAGGCGCATGGCGCACGTCCTCAGAAATGGAATTGTACTTGCATTTTGGCAAGTGGTTAACACCCTCATAGTTGTAATAGGCAATAAGCACATGCATACAGCCTGCATACAAATGTGGTGCATGGTACCACTCGAGCATTTCTTGTCTCCAGGTTGGTCAGTGTAATTAATTGTGCCCTGATTTAGCATCTTGAAAAGGCAAAGCTAACTATTAGTTTGAAACTTTGCAGTATCCACTGACTTTATACGGCCTCAGTTGAAATGTAAATGCTCCTACCAAATTAATTAAACAACCTTTATGTAATAAAGTTTCTTTATGGAACAATGCGAAGCTAAGATTATATATTTACAAGAGATCTTTATGTATAAATATTTGCACAATATCCTAAGCACAAAAATGTGTAAATAGTATAGTTTACAGTGTTTGTTAGTGTGTCTGAGTGCATCTATATGTATTGTGTGGCTCAGGTGTTTCAACCACAGGAAGCCTCATCTTCTTAACAGTGAGTTCTGTAGAACTGAAAAATAGAAGTTAACTACTTCATGCTGGACGATGTGTAAACACTTGGATTTTCGTTTAAACGGAGGTTCCACTAGTCTGTAGAGGTTGAACGTGTGTGGAGCCCTCAAGTGGCCATGGGCAATTGCAGCAAACATCGCTCTTTGAAATTTTTTGGAGTTTCAAAAAAGTGACAATGCAGTAACAAATTTTGAACAAAGGACCACCAAAAGTCATCATTTCTAAAGTCAGACTTTATAACGATTTGTGGTCCTCGTAAATTGTTTTAAAAAGTTTGCATTTTTGACCAATTTATTGTGGAACAATACCACGGGCAAGTGGTTTAGTACATCAGGAGGACATTGCATTGCTCCTGCATAGAACTCAGGTTTCCTCCTCTATAAAGAAACCATAGATCCAGAACTAAATTTCCTGAGAGGGGGAGCTTGTTTCTTTCGGGCAAAAAATTTGAAAATCTTTATGGTTAACTTTTGTGGCCTTCCCGAGGGCCGAGGCTATACGTCGGGGATTTTTACTGGTACTTGCATTAAGAAGGGAATGATTTTGACCACCACATCTGCCTTATTACAGAAAAAGTTGACTGTTGTTTGTTTGGGTGAGAGGAGGTTGTGGTCCGCATTGCTCTCTCCTTCACCCCTGGATCTGCCCCTGCCATCAGCTGTTCCTGCATGGAGTCCACAGTAGCACTGGAGGGGGTTTTTTTTAGCGTAGTGCAATATAATTGTTCAAAGTGTGTGCAGAAAAGTTTTGGAATCTTCATTTAAACTACTTTATATTCATTGTTTCTCAGGTATTGTTAAATTGCCGCCTTCCAGACATATATACATTTTGGCAGGTGAAATATGAGGCTTTCTACTTGTCACAATACCACATAACAAACTCGGGTGTTAATTGGCAAAAATACAAGACAATTGGGGAAGGGATGGCACAGTAGCAGTGCCTCTTCTCCAGTGCCTCGTTGAAGTGCCTCTCAAATATAGCAATGGGTTGTCACCTACATTCCACTACTATGAAATATGGTACTTATGAATATTGAGTTCTTACTTCACTATAGTATTACTGTATCTTTTACATGTAGCTTAGTGAGACTGTATTTTTCCTAGATCGAATATAGTGCCTTGTGTGATAAGAACTATTTCCATTGCAAAAATCTTCCTGCTGTTGTTAGGGCGAAACTTTTGTAATAGATTCTTTTTAGCACAAGGTTTCACGGGGCTAAAAGCTAAGCAAGGTAACAGAGATGTGGGTTCTGTACGGATGGCGAAGTACCTCCTCATTGTTGAAGAAGAGAGGCTGTGCTGACCATTGGGACTGGATGCTAGGTGCCCATGTGAAGACTGGTCATTCGCATGAAAATAGGAAACTTTCAAGATGCCTGGTGACGGCAAATGCACTGGTCCCACCTGACCCATCCGCTACTGTTAACGTCTTTTTGAGCACGTGCATATTTGCACAAACCTGATGCAATCAATAATGGGGTGGCCACGTGAGACAGGTATGTTTGCTGCCACCATGAGTCTCAAAAGGCCCCCACTGGTCTTACATGCACTGCACCGTACATCCCTGCACACAGGTGTTTGCCCACCCACTCTAGTTTAAGGTTTTACAGAGGGGGAAATATTGTGTGGACATGTGCAAGGCAACACAATGTCTTTGAGCCCTAGATTACGTGGACTTCTTTTGTTCTCATGGTCCCCACAAGGTGTGCCAAACAAGTCCATGGAGTGTCTTCATAAACTTCTAAAAGGATTGATCTGCTGAATTATACGTGCATTTTTGGTCTGCGAGGCGCCCAACTAAAATAAAAAGTATGGTTTCACCCCTGGATATAAGGAAATTATGCACAGTTGAAGAATTCCAGATATAAAATTCTGTGAAGCTATTTTTCAGTTCTAAAATATTACTCTTACTCTCAGTCTATATATTCATTCATGATAATTGAAAAAAATAGAGTTTCCAGCTGTGAAATGAGATAGCTGATTAAAAGAGCAGTTATATGAACATGATGGAACATGCACAAGATGCATTGAATGCTGTTGTGCATGCCGCCATCTATTATTTCACCTATACTTTTCCAAAAGTGTATGGTTATGCAGTTACATGTATATGCCTGTGTGCGTGTCAGCCCAATGTGACGTTGAAAGTACACCCTCTCTTGTTCATGCATAGGAGACCAGACTGAGAAATTGGTTGCAGGGAAATTTTTGACTAAGCAATACATGTATTTGCCGCAATGTAAGAAGCATAAATGAGATGTGCAGTCTTTCACAACTTTCAGTTCCCCAAATTTTATTTTTTCATAACAAGAAGCTTAACATAATGTTTGAAATACATTACACCTTATATTTGTACAAGTACATGTCGGTAAAACAGTTGTGGTTTTATTTGGACAGTGGAAAATAAAAGTGCCTGATTTTTTGGAAAAGTGTGTCATACCGGCACTAAGTACATTTTGGTAATTTTCAGAGGTGTTGTCAAGCCAAGTTTAAAGCATTTTAAGGGTAAAAAAAAATGTATACAGTGCAAAAGAAGGATTATCTACACGTCCAAATAAAAATGCTAGAAAAATATCTGAACATAAGCATGATACAAAATATACAATTAAAAAGACTAAGTGTAAAACAAAGACCAAATAAGGCTTCTCTCAACCAGTCTGTCAATAAATTTTGCTTTCTTTGGCGATGATTCGTGCTCTGAAAATTTAATCTACATGTATAAGCTCTTGTTGCTTTTTGCCATATTCAAAGAGGATAACTGATGAAGTCGTACTTGAAAGTTGGAAGTATCTGAAGGCATGAAAACATTTCAGGCATGGGCAATGTGTTGTAACGATTTATCAACAAAGTACTTCACGCCTTGCTGTAATTTCAGCACATGGATATCGCTTACAGGTAAGAATAAATAAATGAAAGTGTGCATACATATGTTCCTCGAATGTCAACTAACTCTTAACAATACACGTTAAAAAAGACATCTAAGCTGGAGTAGCAACATGCATGTCCCATTGTGCAACAAATTACCGTACATTTTGTGGAACGTAAGCAGGGGATAAATTATTTTATTAAGGTTTATGCAAGAAATCTAGTTTGGTTTTTCTGCGGTTAAAATAAATGGTTTGGTTGGGGGAAAACTTTGAGATTTGCTGTCCCAATGAAAGACGAAAACATTTTTAAAAGTCAGATGGAGTTAATTTCAACTGTTTCATGACTATTGTCAAGGCTGCGATTGTTCCTGTCCAAAAGTTTAATATTAACCACTTCCTGCCGGGGACTCCAGGATCGGAGACGTATGGTTTATATGGGTGGCCGGGGTCTCCGAACTCAAACAAAGGAAACAGGGCCCTGTAACAAAAGACCGTACTCCGAACAAAAGACCAGGCTGCTGGGCATTACCGACATTTTTCACTCTCAAAAGTGGTGATAATCCAGTCTTGTTTTNAGACCGTACTCCGAACAAAAGACCAGGCTGCTGGGCATTACCGACATTTTTCACTCTCAAAAGTGGTGATAATCCAGCCTTGTTTTAAATGAAATGATGAATTTTTGAAGGATTTTGAAAACGGAAAAAATGATAGTCATGCCGGCCCAGCATCATCAACATTGGAAATGCCCCGCCATGAAGTGCTTAGTGTGCCATGCCGCTGAGCAACTTTTCATGAAATCGTCCATATGTACATTGTACAGCTATGCTATCAGTGGTAGAAGGGCTTATTTGTGAAATCCCTAACTTCAATCTTAAGCAGCTTTGTGTGACCGACCCCTCTGAATCTGTTTCACAGTGGACCCAGCTGCTCTTCTGTGCACCAAACTTGAAGTCTATGTGGTGTAGAAACCACCGTCATGTTTGCGCGAGTAGCCGGGGTTCGTGGCGGCGCTGTGGTGGCTGTCGATGGCACCCTTTGTGCTGTGAATGCTTTCCTTCTTGGGATCCTGGATGACTGACTTGACCGTCGGCGGGTTCATGGGGTCAAACAGCTTGGGTTCCTCTTTCTTCTTGTTTTTCAGGATCCGCCTTCCGAAGGAAAGAGAAAGTAATGTCCCTTTCAGTGTAATCTGGACAAGTCAATCCTCACAGGAATGGAGAAATTGTAAGTTTAAAGTTTGACACAGGCAAGACGCTAGATTTTTCAACCAAAAAGGAAATTTTGTATTCTGAGAGGTCAAGCTCAATTTGGGGGCTTGTTAAACATTTGGGGAAGGGAAAGAAACAAAATAATCCCCCAAAATTGCCTTTAATTAGTTTTGTTTCAAGAAGAAAACAACTGTCCCTGTTTGGGGGGGTGGGGGCATGATCTCTGTTGGCCCCTAGGATCCACCAATGGGGGAAACAGTACTTTCTGCTGCACATTGCCAAAGAAAATCCTCCTTTCCAATTGAAATGCACATTTCTAACGGGTGAAATAACTGAATAACTTGTCTTTGCCCTTTGAATTTGAATATTAGGAGAGACAGTAATGTCTAAATTCGTTTTTTGTTCAATGTCTGCTTTGAAGCAGTTAGAATCCTCGCCAGGCAGCTGAAAGCTGCAGTGATGACCTCCAATTCTAGGATTTTCTTTTTTTGGGCAACTTACCCATGGTCCTCTCCTATCGTCTCTGGCTGCGTGAGGGTCTCGTTCTTAGATCTCAAGAATTCGTTGTGTTGGTCGTAGTCTGATTTCAAGATGAAGTCCAGGCTGTCTCTGGGTGCCTATGAGAAAGGAAGAAACCAACCACATACAAACAATAAAATGAAGCAAATCTAACTGGAATCCGAGAGGAATATTTGGGTTGTAAATCCAGGCAAAAATAGACCACATACATGTACTATGACGCCACGCTTTGTTTACATGTGTGCTTTCTGATGGTGCTCGGTAGACCACGGGCCCCCACCAGCTCCACAGGATATAGAATTTCTTTTGGCAGTGAAATCAGTATCGTGGCGCAGGAACCGACTACCTGCAGTTGCTCATTTTGGGTCTCTCAAGATTTGAATTCAGAGACTTAAAAAAGTCTGCATGGTAAATGCTCACCTTTGAAGGGAGCATGGCACCTCAAAAGTGAATCACAAGTTTTATTTACCAATGTTAAAGTTATCACATATGTCCTGTTCATAACATAAACTTGGAGTCAGTTCCCAAGCTGGAATCTTGATTCTTGACACGATCAATATTGATTCCAAACACTCCTGGAGTTGCTCAAGACTAACCTGGCATACCACAGCAGTGCTTTGGGCAATCTAGCCCATTTTATGAGATGTACGTTGCATCAGGGAGATGTTTATTTTTATTAATAACAGGTTTTGCCTTTACAAAACTTCTTTGTTATCTTTATCAAAGTTTGGTTTGTTTACAAGAGCTACCTGTATGCACATACATGTACATGTAATCACAATGATCCTTGATTCAAAACCACTGAACTAAAGCAGTGTGGAAGTGGAGAAACCACAAGAACTGTCACAAGAAAAACGTTGAACGTTAATTAGCAAGGAATTCTTTCATTGAAGTTAATTTGAATAGCTTGGGACTTGAATTCAAGCTTGAGGTCTTGTGGGGTTCACAACTGGGATGGCTTATAAGAGGGTCTGACAACAATGAACTACAGCAAAGGTCCAAGGATGGTTGGGGCCAATTAATCCATCAATAGCGCGACAGGGCCCAACTTCAACACACTAGGTTGGGATCGCCTAACTGTAGTTGGGACAATCTACAGTTGGGACTGATGCTACATGTACGGTTGGGGAGTAGCAAGATTGTTGGGGACTAAAATCAATTTACCTGGGGGTCATGATGGTAGACTTCTCGGCGTGAGCTAGACAGTGTGCTGGTGGTGTTAAGCCTATTCCAAGGGTCAACTCGCTGTGCTAGATGAGTTGGCTGCGTGTAGGACTTTGTCTGTAATACATTGTTGAGAATTTGTCATTTAACACATCAACCACATAATGGAACACAAACTTTATTGATAGAAACCAAATCTATACAAAGCACTTTTGGCAAAACATGTTCAGCAAAATGATTTTCTTGGTTTTTGTTTAGAAATGGCTTTGAAAAAAATGTCTGTATTCGTGTATGACTTTTGTTTTAAAGCTGAAGAACAATATAACTTTTTCTTTTGCAATCTATGAAAAGAAACTAGGGCCCACACCTTTAAACCATGTAAACAGAGACCTGAGCCGTTACCTTTAATTTTATTGCAGTCATGCTATTTAGCATCAACAAGCGTCAACACACACAAGTAGCGTCAACAAAGCATCAACAACTTGGAGATGCCCCCTGAGGATTTTGAAGTGGCTTTATCGTATTTATTAGTTACTCTAACATCTGCCACTGTGTAAAAGAACAGCAAATTTTCTTCCAGATTTGCAATGCATGGGGGCCGCCATCTTTCTTTTCTCTGCCATCAACACGAAAACAAGATGGCAGCCGGTCAGGCTGCACGAGCAGGCGCGATTTTTTGCTCAAATCACACTCACATATCATTTTCAATAATGTGATACGCTGAATATGATATGTAGGAGCCTGATTAATATTGTAAATGTAAAATATATGCTTGACAACTTGTTGACATTTGATGACGCTTGTTGATGCTTGCTGACACTAAATAGCATGACCCTTTATTGGTTTATGGCTAGAAGTTTTTAAATATATGTAGGGCCTTGGCTTACCCTTAATCTACGGCACAACGTTCTTAGATACTCTGTGCTTCTAATCGGCAATAAACCTTTTCAACATTCCCAATGCATTATGGGTTTGGATGACAAACAAGCCATGTATTTTATGCATAAATAAATCTACATGTATGGGGGAGTGAACCAGTCAGAAATTAAGTTTACAATTTTCTTCAGAATATTTTGAAAGTACCTATTCATCACCTAACAGCTGCAAGCGTAGTATACAAGGAAAAGTTTTAAAATAAGATTATTTTTCAAATGTTTGTAAGAAGAAAAATCACCCGTAATTGTCTTTTTATAAGGGCACCAGTCATTCTAGGCTGAAAATGGCGTGATTGGTCGGTGTAGGATGAATGAGCCACAAGTCATGATTTTGATTGGCCAAACTAAGGCATTACTATTCACAATCTTAGTCATAGGTTAATCCATGACAAAAACTTGTCTTGTTGGAAGGAATTCCCTGAATTTTTCTGTTCTGCCATGCTTTAAACATCTAAGTCTTGTAAATATCTTCATTCCAAATTTTATAATGCAACACTCTGAGAGAAGAGGATAGCTTAAACTGGAATAGGTAATAAAATGGAAGCAGATTAATGTGTTGCGGGTACACTTCTCCCATATGGTTGTACATAAAGTGAATTGCTTGTTTGTCATCCAACCCGCATTGCAAACATCGAAAAGGTTTGTTGACATGTGGATGAAATCCAACCAAAACATGAAGCAATAATTGTTCACATAAACTTACAAGTTTTTCTGAATTTATCTGGGCATAGGCCTCTAACCTACTACAAAAGTAATCTCCAGATTAGGCCTAGTCGTAGGCCTAGGCCCTAGCCCAGGCTGGACGTTGTCTTCATTTCATTAGTACAGTCAGGGAGTCCACCTGGGCTAGCCTACGATGAATAGTACTCAAATGGTATTTTAAACATGTTTCTCTCGAGCTTGAATGACCCGAGGAAGAGAGGCCTAGACTTGTTTACTTAATATGAAACAACTAAAAACTGGCAGCAATTAAACCTTCATAGCTAGTCCGAGTAACTTGGACATTACAAATCGCCTTTTTTAACATTTGGACATGTACGGTAGGGCCTACCTTATTACTGGGCTTTCCATCTATGAGCTACATTGAACATGTATTTTGAGTGAAATGATTTAATGGAAGCAAAAGCCTATGGAAGGTACGGATCCTTCCTACTGAGTACTACCATCGCCCAACCATGTCCAAAATGTTTTTTAAAGAGGCGATTTGTTAGGTCCAAGTTACTCGGACTATTTCATCAGTTCAAACTCTAAACACATTTCTAACGTGATTGTTGAGGACCTTCCACACACCTGAAATGTCCTGGCTCCCATGAAGTCATCGTCGTTCTGTAGCTCAGGGAAGGGATATGGCTGTCTGTTTGAAACCTCCATGTTCTTCTTGCGTTAGTTCCTTCTACCCAAAAAGGTTTGATTTTGCAAAGAAATTTGCCACAGGACACCCAACTCAAGTTACAAGCGATCTTTCACAAATGCAAAGTGAATTGAAGTAAGTCACCAATGTGTACGGTACGCGTATTACATGTGCATGTACAATGTACGTACGCATACTGTACACAGACTGTATACAATGGTAACCACGGCAACTTTTGAATTTTAAACTATAGAGGGCGCTATATGAGGTTCACGCTGGATCACAGACATGTTGCACTACACCAAGTACGCACCCATAAAAAACAGTGCAAAATCGGACCGAAATAGCGCCGCCTGTTGACTCTCGTGAAGAGGTTGACCTCTGTTTTTTTTCACTGGCAATTCAAGACTATGGCCAGAAGATCACTTTCCGTTTCAATTTCATGGGGGTTAGCTACGAATATCTTTTTTTATTCGCCTTTCGAGGAAGAAACCCCCAAAACAGCAATAAAACTAAGCGCTCATTTCTGAATATAGCCGCCCGCCTCTATCCAAAATAGGCTCCCAATTCAGGAAATACCCCGAACTGGATACTATTAGTCCCAAATTCGGGATTTATAGAAATATTTCTATGATGCCTCCTGATTATGGCAGGTCTTATTGTAAAAACCCCGTGGGATCACAAAATATCAATGAGCTCGCGCACAGAAATACAACCATTTGGTGGAATGCACCCTTATGTCTGTGCGCTGGATGGATTGAGGCCGGAGCTCGAGGCTGGGGTGGGTGGATGGGTTCAGAACTACAGAACAGAAAGGGTCACCTCCAGAACAATGAAAAACCTATTTCAGCTACTCTTCCATCTAGCGATTTTATTTCTTTATTTTTGTATTAAACTTTCCATCCATCCATCTACGCGGAACCTCAGAGTCGCCAGGATAGAAAATTGTTTTGTGCTCCAGTGGCGGAAGCATTTACTTTTGGTAATTTGGGGGTTAATCTTCACACAGTACCAGTACATGAATGCACTTTAAGGTACGACCGTCTTCGGAATTTGTTTTCATTATTGGCTGTACACTATGATCTTACTAATGATAAAGGTTATTAATATTATTATTCAGTAGCAAACCGATTTTTTTTCGAGGGTTATAATTAAGCAGTTCTGAACTTAAACACGTACAGAAATCACTCTTCTTATCGATTTCCATACTCTTTTTTGCAAGCTGATTATCAATCAGAAGAGAATAGCTCATTTAACTGGTAATTCTTCCATACACTAAGTAATATTTTCACTTCAAACGGATGAGGTAGGCCTCAGCTAGTACTAGGTTGCTGCGCCCAATGTTATGATGATGCATGGTTTTACTGTTGATGGTAAGGACCTAAGCGCGTCGAAATTTAAAAAAAAAAGCAAGCTACCGAGTTTTTCCAAGGCAATCGTCCATTCTTGCTATTAGCGTCAAGAACCAAAGCTCGTGATCGGAAGAACCCGAAGACAAAAGCGCCCGCCAGCACCGGCACCACAAACATGCACATCGCGTGTCTGTGGGGTAGCGCAGGGAGATCACAGCAAGCTCGATGCCAGGAGGGTGCACCCTTGTATTTAGGCCAGAAATATGTGTCCGCCGAGCTCTTTAATAAAAGTTATACACTGAAAATATTTCATATCAGAGGATCCTGAGAGCCATGGGACTGGGGAATTGAAGAAATGTGAGACTGAACCCCTGGGCCGGACTCAGGGCTTCCAATTGGGAGCAATTTGGATGCAATCGGGTCCCAAAGTGGCACTATTTGAGCCATTTTGCAGAGGGATGGTTTTTCAAAATGGCTACTTTTCTGGACAGGGACATTTTCTTGATTTTAGGGGTGGTCCGCGTCTGGTGGAAATTTCTCAAAAATTCATTGGTCAACCCCCCGAAAATAGAAAGGAATATGAAAGGGGGCATGTGGGACAACATTTTTCTTTGTAGCCTGAACACCTGTGAGTGTTGTGT